TCTCTATGTGTCTATATGTGTCTATGTATCTAAATGGGTCTCTGTGTATATGTATCTCAAGAGTATCTATGTACTGTAAGCTGAGTCTGTATCTATGTGTCTGTGTATCTCATAAGTGTCTATGTACTGTATACCTGTGTCTTGGTGGGTCTCTATGTGTCTACGTAGCTCAATGTATCTCTTTGTGTCTATGAATCGCATAGTGTCTATGTATCTCTATGGGTATCTGTGTATATGTATCTCTATGGGTATCTGTGTCTATGTATATCTATGGGTCTTTGTGTCTACGTATCTCAAGGTGTCTATGGGCGAGTGTGTGCGTTGTTTGAGGGGAGCGGTAGTGTAGTGGTTAGCGCTACGCTGCGCCATGTGAACCCGGCGACCCGGGTTTGACTCCCGCTCACGGCCGGCACCGCTGACGATTATCTGAACCGGTCCTGGGCCTCCCCGAGGTCGACTCAGCCTCAAGTGAGTACCCGGTGCGGTGCGTAGTAAACATCGCCACTGGGGAGACAAAGGCGGCCGGGCGTGGTGCCGGCCACCCACCCCCTCGTGTGCCGTGCCGGCCTTCGCAGGTGCTGCTCGCTAACAGCACTTGCCCCTACAGTCTGTTAAGGCTACACGGGGGATCTTTGTCTTTGTGTCCGTGACTCGCTGTGACCTTTTGCCCATACCGGATATCTGCGAGGAAGAGCTTCAAGGCTCATCGGATTTATTCCTTCCTTCCTCCTGCTGCTCCCGCTGTCTAAATAAAAGATTATGATTCTGGTAGAGAGAGTGAGGGGCGAGTGAGTGAGGTGATAAACCAATAAAGGTCGAGGAGGATTACGTATGGGGCAGGGGGGGGGGTGATAAGTGTTGATGATCGACAAAAATGATTGGGTCTTTTATTTTGATTTAAAGCTTTCGTGACTGCAGTGATTCATATTCTTGGTTCTTTCGGTAAAGTCACGTTGAAGGGAAACAATAAAATATATATAAAACAATAAAATTCTCACGACGTTTCGACTGATGATGACTGTTTGTGTTACAGTCGAAACGTCGTCGAGAATTTTATTGTTTTATCTACATATTATTATTTTATTGTTTCCCTTCAACGAGGACTTTACCGAAAGAACCAAGAATATGATTGGGTCTTTGTTGATTCTAGAATCTAGATGCTGAGCATAATTAAGCAAGGTTCACCCGTTTTCCTCTTGTTGATAAGGGAGGCTTTCATTATTAACGGGAGCTCACTGCTGCCTCAGCCTGCACGCCACACTTTCAACACCGGGGCGTTCTTTTCCCCCCATTTCAAACGCTCAACGAAGATCCCCGACATCCCACCAAGCCCCGTAGCAACAGACTGTTGGGACAAGTCGCTGCTGCGTTTGAGATCAAGTAGCTCCTACTATGAAGGCCTGCAACGGTGACACACGCCGGGGGGGGGGGGGGGGAGACTGTGCGGGTGATAGTACCAGGTGATTGGGTTCCATAAGACCGGCCACTCGCTACGAACCGAGTTCATTTAATTTTTTTTATTTTAAAGCTATGTCGTCGCAATTTGTTCCAAAGTGAGCCTGGCTATAACAAAAGAGAGCTCAACCGAGTGGCCGACTGATATCGTCGTGTGGACCATTTACGGAAGCGGTTAAATACGATCAACGCCGTGATGCTGATTGCGAATGTGGAGGGGGTGAAGAACCGGAGGACTCCCGGAGAAAGATCCACGCGGCCACGGAGGGAGAGAGAGAGAGAGACGCAGACTCCACATGAATTGCAGGCATCCCAGGGTCGGGATCGAACCCACGAACCTCCTGTATACCCTGCGAGGGAGCTAACATCTCCTCGCCACCGTGATGATGATGATGAGAGAGACAGAGACACGCAAACTCCAAAAATACAGCAGCAGGCATCGTCAGGCTCCAACCCACGAACCTCCTGCGTACCAGGCGAGGTAGTCAACATCTCCTAGCCACCGTGATGATGATGATAGAGACAGAGACACGCAAACTCCAAAAATACAGCAGGCATCGTCAGGCTCGAACCCACGACCTCCTGCGTACCAGGCGAGGTAGTCAACATCTCCTCGCCACCGTGATGATGATGATGAGAGAGACAGAGAGACGCAAACTCCAAAATACAGCAAGCATCATCAGGCTCGAACCCACGAACCTCCTGCGTACCAGGCGAGGTAGTCAACATCTCCTCGCCACCGTGATGATGATGACGATGATGAGAGAGACAGAGACACGCAAACTCCAAAAATACAGCAGCAGGCATCGTCAGGCTCGCGGGTTGAACCCACGACCTCCTGCGTACCAGGCGAGGTAGTCAACATCTCCTCGCCACATTCAGGTGGTCAAGCCAGACAACCGCGTGAGGAGCAGGCGGAGTTGTCGTGCATCGTTCGTTATTTGTGTATGGGGGCGGGAGGGGGGTCATTGCGTTGTTGCACTTTGTACGACCCTGTCTGTTCTGGATGCCAACAGTCACACCACTACTCGCGAGATGATGATGATGATGCTGCTGCTGCTGCTGTGGGATGATGAGTGCTGTGATGACGATGAATAATGTTGTGATGACGAACGGTGGTTGCGCGATGTGATGGAACGTGATGATGTGCGTCTGTGATGGGATGTTGAGTGTGATGATGAGTGTTATGATGGTGAATTGTGATTGTGGGTTGTGGCGAGTGTTACGATGGTGAATTGTGATTGTGGGCTGTGATGATGATGATGAGTGTTATGATGGTGAATTGTGATTGTGGGTTGTGGCGAGTGTTACGATGGTGAATTGTGATTGTGGGCTGTGATGATGATGATGAGTGTTATGATGGTGAATTGTGATTGTGGGTTGTGGCGAGTGTTACGATGGTGAATTGTGATTGTGGGCTGTGATGACGATGCGTGTTATGATGGTGATTGTGGGTTGTGATGATGATGATTGTTATGATGGTGGTGACTGTGGGTCGTGGTGATGAGTGTTATGATGATTAATTGTGAATGTGATGATGATGAGTGTTATAGTGATTAATCGCAATGACGAAGCGAGTTGCTGTGCCATTGAGGCACGGCGTGATGCGATCATCAATAGTGACGAGAACGTGTGCTGCCATTGACGACGAAAACGTAACGTTAATCCCCTGCCAATAAGTGATTTACAAAGTGTCTTAAGTCGCGACAGACGAAGCGCTTGTGAGTTTACCACGACGTGTAAGAAGGCTTTCGCGACCAATCCACAGAGGTTTTTGTGGGTGGGGTAAGGTCGCGTAAATATAAAATGCTGTTGTGTCGTTAAACCCCTCCACCACCCGACGACACACCCAATTAGTAAGATTTGTCACGTGAACGGAACCGTAGCCCACTACGTTACTACATAGTTGTCAACCCATACGGCTCGCCCCGTATTGTGTTTCTCTCCCTTGTGATGGGACTTTGTAGGATGAACTTTGAGATTTATAAGGTCTGAATTGGTCTGTAATAAGGTAAGGCACTAATTAGGGGTTGACAGTTGTTACTAGTACAGCACTAACCGGTCGTGGGTTGGAGAGTTAAACCCACTACAACATTTACAATTCGTTACTAGTACAGCACTAACCGGTCGCTGTGTGTTGGAGAGTTAAACCCACTACAACATTTACAATTCGTTACTAGTACTGCACTAACCGGTCGTGGGTTGGAGAGTTAAACCCACTACAACATTTACAATTCGTTACTAGTACAGCACTAACCGGTTGCTGTGTGTTGGAGAGTTAAACCCACTACAACATTCACAATTCGTTACTAGTACAGCACTAACCGGTTGCTGTGTGTTGGAGAGTTAAACCCACTACAACATTCACAATTCGTTACTAGTACAGCACTAACCGGTTGCTGTGTGTTGGAGAGTTAAACCCACTACAACATTTACAATTCGTTACTAGTACAGCACTAACCGGTCGTGGGTTGGAGAGTTAAACCCACTACATTTACAATTCGTTACTTGTACAGCACTAACTGGTTGCTGTGTGTTGGAGAGTTAAACCCACTACAACATTCACAATTCGTTACTAGTACAGCAATAACCGGTTGCTGTGTGTTGGAGAGTTAAACCCACTACAACATTTACAATTCGTTACTAGTACAGCACTAACCGGTTGCTGTGTGTTGGAGAGTCAAACCCACTACAACATTTACAATTCGTTACTAGTACTGCACTAACCGGTCGTGGGTTGGAGAGTTAAACCCACTACAACATTCACAATTCGTTACTAGTACAGCACTAACCGGTTGCTGTGTGTTGGAGAGTTAAATCGACTACAACATTCACAATTCGTTACTAGTACAGCACTAACCGGTTGCTGTGTGTTGGAGAGTTAAACCCACTACAACATTCACAATTCATTACTAGTACAGCACTAACCGGTTGCTGTGTGTTGGAGAGTTAAACCCACTACATCATTCACAATTCATTACTAGTACAGCACTAACCGGTTGTTGTGTGTTGGAGAGTTAAACCCACTACAACATTTACAATTCGTTACTAGTACAACACTAACCGGTTGCTGTGTGTTGGAGAGTTAAACCCACTACAACATTCACAATTCGTTACTAGTACAGCACTAACCGGTTGCTGTGTGTTGGAGAGTTAAACCCACTACAACATTCACAATTCGTTACTAGTACAGCACTAACCGGTTGCTGTGTGTTGGAGAGTTAAACCCACTACAACATTCACAATTCGTTACTAGTACAGCACTAACCGGTTGCTGTGTGTTGGAGAGTTAAACCCACTACAACATTCACAATTCGTTACTAGTACAGCACTAACCGGTTGCTGTGTGTTGGAGAGTTAAACCCACTACAACATTCACAATTCGTTACTAGTACAGCACTAACCGGTTGCTGTGTGTTGGAGAGTTAAACAACATTCACATTCACAATTCGTTACTAGTACAGCACTAACGTGTCACTAAACGTGTGCGCGCGTGTGTCTTGTTTGTTTGTTGTTGTTTACGCGAGTTTAGGAGGCACCCCTACCTGGAATTTGGTGGTGTGGGACGTTGACGAGACTGAAGCCCGAAGCGCGGTACTCCTGCCTCGCCTCCCCGCACGCGCGCGCCTTGGCCCCGCAGCCCCGCCAGGCAAGAGCGGCGCTTAGCACGAGGCCTACCGTCAGCCTCAACCACTGTTGCTCCATAACTTCCCACTTAAAACAACACCCCCCCCCCCCCCCGCAAATTAACTTAATCAACCCGTTGCTTTACAATTAATTTAAAAAAAAACTATTAATTAGTTAACGAGCGGAGAGACGGCGTTGCTTAAAGAGTTTAAAGAGTTCGCCTCTCGCTCCGTGCGTTACCTCGGCGTGTGTGTGTGTGGTGGTGGAGGGGTGCTTAACGTAGACCCCCTCAGTTCGATTTATCGGGATTTATTTTTGTTTAAACCACAAAAACTTTTTCCTTAATGTTTTTGCTTTAAAAAAAAACTAATTGATTACGTTTTAAAACGTTTCGATTTGAATTAACAATTAAAAAAAAAAACTTTTTTCTACCAGCCGACTCGGCCGGGTTAGACGGGGTGCGGTGTGCGGTGGTTGTCCGCCTTTTAAAACAATTATGAGCCAACAAAACACTATTTAACAACAACAAAAAACCCCGCGCTAACAACTTTTAAAACGCTTTGTCGATGTTGGCGACGTTGGGTTTCCCCTCAGAAATCGAAACTTTCGACGTATCCGAGTTAAAATTGAAAACTGGATAAAAAATTTAATTTCTCTTTCTCTTCTCCACAAGCCAACCCTTCAAAAGCCCCCTTCGACGTCTCTCCTCCTTTTTTTAAATAAAAAAAAGTTTCAGCACCGCGACGACGCCGAATCTCGTCGAAGAGTTCCAACAACACAAAAAGCGCAGAGCCCGCGAACACGAAACTGAAGGGGAGGAGGGAGGGGGGGAGGAGGAAGGGAGGGGGGCGTGGCCACGAGGGGAGGAAAACAAAATCCGGAACGGATCCCGGCGTAGAAGTCCCGGAGCACGGAGCGGTCGCGAGGCTTTTGGGCCTGCGTAGGAGAGCGGTAACCACCCACATTTTTTTTTATTATTTTAATTTTCTATCTGCGTAACTTTACCGAAAGAAACCAAGAATATTAAACGTTTCGATATTTACCGCGATCCAACCGCAACTCTCCCACCACCATCCACTGCGTCTTAAACTGAGGTTTGATTTGGAGCGGCTACTCCGGGTTTTCCCCTCCACGTGGAGTTGAAATTATTTTGATTCATATTCTTGGTTCTGTCGGTAAAGTCACGTGGAAGGGAAATAATAAAATAATACTAATATACAACAATACAAGTTTTATTTTTTGATTTAAAGATTTCGTGATTGCAGGGATTCATATTCTTGGTTCTGTCGGTAAAGTCACGTGGAAGGGAAGTCATAAAATAATACAAATATAAAACAATACAAATGTTATTGTTTTATTGTCTTATTTTTATTATTTTATTATTTTCCTTCTACGTGATGGTGACTTTGCCGAAAGAACCAAGAATATGAATCCCTGCAGTCACGAAAGCTTTAAATCGAAATTATTTTGATTGTTTTAGTGCTGTGAATGTCCAGACGATGATGACGATGATGATGACGATGATAACGATATGATGACGACGATGACGACGATGATGATGACTACGATGATAACGATGATGATGATGATGACGATGATGATGACGACGACGATGATGATGATGACAATGATGATGATGACTACGGTGATAACGATGATGACGACGACGACGATGATGATGACTACGATGATGATGATGACGATGACGACGACGATGATGATGACAATGATGATGACGACGATGATGACGATGATGATGATGACTACGGTGATAACGATGATGATGACGACGACGATGATGACGATGATGATGACGATGATGATGACTACGATGATGACGATGACGACGATGACGACGATGATGATGACGACAATGATGACGATGATGATGATGACTACGATGATGATGATGATGACGACGATGATGATGATGACGACAATGATGACGATGATGATGACTACGATGATGACGACGACGATGATGATGATGACGACAATGATGACGATGATGACGATATGATGATGACGACGATGATAACGATGATGATGATGACTACGATTATGATGATGATGACGATGATGATGACGATGATGACGACGATGACGACGATGATGATGACGATGATGATGACGATGATGATGACGATGACGATGATGACGACGATGATGACGACGATGATGACGATGATGATGACGATGATGATGATGACGATGATGAGGATCACGACAATGATGACGATGATGATGACGATATGATGACGATGACGACGATGATGATGACTACGATGATGATGACGATAATGATGACGATGACTACGATGATGATGACGATGACGACGATGACGACAACGACGATGATCCAGTCATGAAGAAGGATCCTCTTGTGGAGCCACTCAAAACCATCACCTTACCCTACATTGCAGGGGTCACTAAAAAGATCTCCAAAATCCTGAATAAACACAAGATCCAGGTCCGATTCAACACAGTACACAAAATCCGTGATTTAGTTCCATCTGTAAAAGATGCTCTTCCAGACATACAGTACCCGGGCGTTTACAAACTAAAGTGCCTCTGTGGTAGTAGCTACATTGGAGAAACCAAAAGACATATCTCGGACCGCATCCGCGAACATAAAGCAGACTTGAAACACGGTAAGACGAACTCCTCTGCCGTGGCAGATCACTGTTACAATTCAGTGGGCTCACATGACATTGACTTCTCCAAGACGGAGGTTCTTTGCAAACCAACTGGCTACCATGAGAGATTCGTTCATGAGGCCATTCACATATACAAGCACAGAGACAATTTCAACCGAGAAGATGGATTCAGGCTTAGTAACCACTGGAAAGATGTGTTAAATCATTTCTGTTCTTAATTAATTGTAATTTTACGATGACCTTCAGACCGCAGCTCTTTCGCCAGCATTGCCTCTTAATACCTCTCACACCACGGTTAATGGTATGGTTTACAACATGGAATATACTAGGGCTTCGCAGCTGTCTCTCTCCCCCTCCTCTGTTCCGACCATGGACGAACTCGTCCGTCTGAACGGGGCCCGTAGCTATCCGTGGTACGGAAATTTGAGGGTAAGAATCCACCCATTTTTTCGCCATATAGCATTGTGATATATAACGACTTATGGTTGGTAGCTTAGCTGATTGGAGAATATAGAGTTTATTGATAACATGAAGGTAATTTATATTTTAGTTTTTATTGGTTCACTATATAGTACTGTGAATAGCTCAGATGTGTAATCATTTCTGTGACCAGTCACTAGCAAATCACCCAGTTATTTCAATGCTAAATTCGCCTAGTTATTTCAATGCTAAATTCTCCTGTTTGATTTGTACTAAGTGCCTCGGTGAATGTGTATGCTCTGACTTCAACGTAACTATTTCTGTAGCAGTTACAAGCGAATCACTCAGCCATTTCAATGCTAAATTCTATGCTAATCCCATTATCAAGGGGTGCCTCTGCGGATGTGTATGCCTTAATTTAGCTATTTCAATGCTAAATTCTATGCTAATTCCTTTTAACAATGGGTGCCTCTGCGGATGTGTATGCTTTAACTTTTAACATAGCTATTTCTGTGACCAGTCACAAGCTAATCATTCAGCCATTTCAATGCTAAATTTTATGCTAATTCCTTCGTCAAGGCTCTTTGTTCCTCTCACACAGCTTAAAAGCCGTGATCTGAACGTGGCTCTCTCACTCCAGCGCTGTCCTACCAGACAGTCTCGCTCTCTTCACCTGATGAAGGCCGCTTGTGTTGTGGCCGAAACGTCGTGAGAATATTATTGTGTTATTTTATTTTATCAATTTATTATTTTATTCTCATTCTACGTGACTTTACCGAAAGAACCAAAGAAGAGGAAAACGACGATGATGATGATGACTACGATGATGACTACGATGATGACGATGATGATGATGACGATGATGATGGTGACGATGATGATGACGATGATGATGATGATGACGACGATGATGACGATGATGATGATGACGATGATGATGGTGACGATGATGATGACGATGATGATGATGATGACGACGATGATGACGATGATGATGACGATGATGATGACGATGATGAGGATGACGATAATGATGACGATGATGATGACGATATGATGATGACGACGATGATGAGGATGACGATGACGACGATGATGACGATGATGACGACGATGATGACGATGATGATGACGACGATGATGATGACTACGATGATGATGACGATGATGACGACGATGATGATGACGACAATGATGATGACGACGATGATGACGATGATGATGATGACTACGGTGATAACGATGATGATGACGACGACGATGATGATGATGACGATGATGATGACGACGATGATGATGACTACGATGATGACGATGACGACGATGACGACGACGATGATGACGATGATGATGACGACAATGATGACGATGATGACTACGATGATGATGATGACGACGATGATGATGATGACGACAATGATGACGATGATGATGACTACGATGATGACGACGACGATGATGATGATGACGACAATGATGACGATGATGACGATATGATGATGACGACGATGATGACGATGATGATGATGACGACAATGATAACGATGATGATGACGACGATGATAACGATGATGATGATGACTACGATTATGATGATGATGACGATGATGATGACGATGATGACGACGATGATGACGACGATGACGACGATGATGATGACGATGATGATGACGATGATGATGACGATGACGATGATGATGATGACGATGATGACGACGATGATGACGACGATGATGACGATGATGATGATGACGATGATGAGGATCACGACAATGATGACGATGATGATGACGATATGATCACGATGACTGACGATGATGATGATGACTACGATGATGATGACGATAATGATGACGATGATGATGACTACGATGATGATGACGATGACGACGATGACGACAACGACGATGATGATGATGATGACGACGATGATGACGATGATGATGATGGTGACGATGATGAAGACGATGATGATGATGATGACGACGATGATGACGATGATGATGACGATGATGATGACGATGATGAGGATGACGATAATGATGACGATGATGATGACGATATGATGATGACGACGATGATGAGGATGACGATGACGACGATGATGACGATGATGATGACGATGATGATGATGACGATGACGACGACGATGATGATGATGACAATGATGATGATGATGACGACGATGATGACGATGATGATGATGACTACGGTGATGACGACGATGATGATGACGACAATGATGACGATGATGACGATATGATGATGACGACGATGATGACGATGATGATGATGACGACGATGATAACGATGATGATGATGACTACGATTATGATGATGATGACGATGATGATGACGATGATGACGACGATGATGACGACGATGACGACGATGATGATGATGATGACGATGATGATGATGATGACGATGATGATGACGATGATGATGATGACGATGATGACGACGATGATGACGATGATGACGACTAGATGACGACGATGATGACGATGATGAGGATCACGACAATGATGACGATGATGATGACGATATGATGACGATGACGACGATGATGATGATGACTACGATGATGACGATAATGATGACGATGATGATGACGATGACGACGATGACGACAACGACGATGATGATGATGACTACGATGATGACGATGATGATGATGATGACGATGATGATGGTGACGACGATGATGACGACGATGATGACGATGATGAGGATGACGATAATGATGACGATGATGATGACGATATGATGAT